TTTCCCAACCAAAAGGAAGAAAAACTGTCCAACACGGAAATAACTTTCCTAATTTTCTGTGCATGGTGAAGCGTATAATGCTCCAAGGCTTGACCAACACTGAGGATTCAGCGAGTAGCATAGCTTACAGTTTGCAGTTTTCTGCCTGTTTTCATAAATTTTCTTCTCTTGCTGGGTATACATTTTCAATGTTTGTACAGTCGGCCCTTAACATACGCGGGTTTATAATACACGGATTTGCAAATACGCGGATTGCCCCGCCGGAGGAATATTCTGTACATTGAAGTAATTGAAGTACATTCAAATCGCGCGCCATTCAACTCGAGCGCGGCACCGAACACGGGACACCGCTCGCTCCCGCAACCTCACACACACACGCATAGCTCTCCCTCACTCAGTCAGTCTCGCTGTAACCACGCTTGTGTTGACATCAGCATTGTACTTGCAAAAATATTACATTTCCGTGAATGTATTATATCAAGCACAGTATGAATAGAATATCACTAATATAAGAGTATTTTAACCAAAAACTACTAAAAAAACGAGTAACATATCTTGAACATTGGAAGGTTAGGTAAAGTCTTTTGTTTTCATGTAGTTTATCCTAATTTACATTGAAATGCATTACGTTTCAGCAAAACTACTACGTATTTATTTCTGAGAATATGGAAATGTAATATTTTGCTGAAATGACGTACGTATTACAGTGGAAAGTGACGAAAGCAATGACTCGCTTTCTTTCGTTCAAAAGATGTTAGTGTAATCGCTTTTCGAATGGTTTTCAGTTAAAAAACTGTTGTATTACAATAATATTCTATCCTAATTCACTTGTGATGCAACAGTTTTTTAACTGAAAACCATTCAAAAAGCGATTACGGTAATATTTTTTGAACAAAAGAAAGCGAAAGTCATTGTTTTCGTCACGATTTTATCCCACATTCCACTGTAATACGTACGTCGTTTCAGCACAAATATTACATTTCCGTGAATGTAGTATATCAAGCACAGTATGAATATAATATCATTGTAATATAACAGTATTTTGACCGAAAACTATTAAAAGAACGAGTAACATCTCTTGAACATTGGAAGGTTAGGTGAAGTCTTTTGTTTTCGTCATGTATTTTATCCTATTTTACATTGAAATACATCACGTTTCAGCAAAACTACTATTTATTTCTGAGAATATATTCATTCAGGCACAGTTTAGGTAAAATATACATGTGCTGTAACATTTTTTTAATTGAAAACGATTCGAAAAACACGTACCCTCTAGCCCTGTTCAAGGAGAAGACTGGGAGGAGCTGTTTGGTGTTGAAGACGATGACAAGGAAAATGATTTGGATGGATTTTAATGAAAATATTCAGAAATATGGTATCGTAGTATTTATTCAAGTCAATTAGGATAGAATATTATTGTAATACAACAGTAGTGACGATGTGGAGGAGGCGGAGGGATAGAGCGGGGAGGAGGTGACTGGCGGGAGCAGGGACGAGTGGAGATGCCAGCCAGTACATTACGGGTGTATTAATTGTTTTTATAGCTATTTTTGCATTTTAATATTAAATACTGTACATTACGTTTCAACAAAACTACCATTTATTTCTGAGAACATGGAAATGTAATGTTTTTGCTGAAATGATGTACTGTACGTATTACAGTGGAAAGTGGGATAAAATTGTGACGAAAGCAATGACTTTCTCTTTCTTTCGTTCAAAAGATGTTACCGTAATCACTTTTCGAATGGTTTTCAGTTGTTGGATTATAAGACTAATGATAGGATAGAATATTATTGTAATACAGTACGAGTACAACAGTTTTTTAACTGAAAACCATTCGAAAAGCGATTACGGTAAAATCTTTTGAACAACGAAAGAAAGCGAAAGTCTTTCGTCATGATTTTATCCCACTTTCCACTATAATATGTATGTCATTCCAGCAAAAATATTAAATTTCCATATTTATTTCCGAGAATATATTCATTCAGTCACAGTTAAGGTAAAATATACTTGTGATGTAATATTTTAATGAAAATACGGTATCGTAGTTTTCTTTTGTTTCAAATTTAATTAACAAAGATTGATGTTTCAAATGTAATGAACAAAATTTATGTCCAGTATCTATGAATAAACTTTAATAAATGAATACTTTATGTTTTACATCGTCCTGTGCTACCATACCATGGACTTGGCTACTTTGGGCTTGCTATGATGACGCAAGAGATCTGCCCTGGCAACTGTACCGACACTCACAGCTGGTGGTGCATTGGTGCATCGTTTCCATTGCTTACTGGTAGTTACTGGTAAATATTTTTCAACCTTAACAAAACTATTACCCTTTTAGAGGTCGACCCCCAATTTTTTGCCAAATAATTTGGTCTTTAAAACTCGAACTACACACAGGAATATACGGTAGACAAGGACATGGGGGTCAGGTTTTTTTTTGGGGGGGGGGGAGCCAGCACATATGCGCTGATTTTTAACATCCACGGCTATCTCTGTTACGTAACCCCCGCGTATGTTAAGGGCCGACTGTATGTTATATATCGAGAATTACTTGTATAATGTAATATATGATGTACAAAAACCATTGTGACATTGTAATGCACTTTTTATATCGGTAAAGGTCTTTTTAAATGGCAACAAACAGAATTTTACACTAACGTGAATGAAAAATGTTTAATGTAACACTTAACATGACATCTATGCACTCTGCCGGAACAGGACAGGAATCATACTAAGTTGGAGTCCTAATTTGCCAAACATTACTTTTTTTGCCACTGCCAACCTACCACTCTCTCTCTCTCTCAAAAATGTTTAGAATTTTGTGTATCAAAATTTATTCTTCCATTAATGAAGTGGGACATTTCAGGACAAATTCTGAAAATGCGGGACATTATTGGGATGCTGTCAGAATGCGAGACGTTTGATGAAAAATCGGGACGTCTGGTCACCTTAATCATATCAGTTCTTAACAGCTTGTATTTTAAGCTTGGTAATTTTAACTTCCTTAGTCTATCTGGGTATGCTAAATCTTTCATTCTTGATAGTTGTCTTGTTGCTCGCCTCTGGACTGATTCTATCTTATCAGTCATATTCTTAGTGTATGGGTCTCCAAACTGAGCTTGCAAAGTCAAAATGCAATCTCACCATTGACTTATAAAGTGGGATAAAAGTCGCTGTACAGTATTTAGAAACTGAAATGAGTTCCTTATTATCTCCATCATCGAATTTGCTTTCTTTGTCTTTTCAATGATATGTTCTTTAAATTTCAGCGTGTTATCAATGATGACTCCTATATCATTTTCCGATGTCACACAAAGCAACTTAATTTGGTGAACAGGTATACTGTATCATAATTCTTCTTAGCTTTCCCATCCCTTCCTCCGTGCATATTCTTACATTTTGCTGGATGAAATTCTAAAAGCCATTTCTTTTTTCAATCTTTCAAAATTAGAAGATCACCCTGTAGTCTTATGACATCCTCTTGATTATTCATCATCTATAAATTTTTTTGTGTCAGCAAAAAGATACACATGAGAATTAATCATTTCTGGGAGGTCATATGCAGGGTATATCACAAAATGCAATGGACCCAAAACTGTTCCCTGTGGGATACTAGTTGCTACTGGTACTTCATGCCATTTGAACATGGCTCCATTTACCAATACGCTTTGTTTTCTTCCAATTAGAAAGGATTCAATCCATTCCATCATTTGCACATTTATGCTATATGCTGATACTTTAGTTAAATGTCTCCGATGGAGAACTTGATCAAATGCCTTTTGAAAATGAGCAAAGTTGTGTCTCTTCAACATTATGTTACACAACATTTTAAAATGTGGAATGAGAAAACAGAAAGGTGTGGGTAAATAGAGAGATGGAGTGGAAATGAGTGTTGCCAAGCACTCCTCAAGAGCTGACATTTAACTCGCAGTCACACACACACACGTAGATGTGTCTTAATTCCCTTGCTGGGGGTATGTGAGTGGTGTTGGGGTGTGTGTGTAGTTGTTGGAGGGTGTGTTTGTGTGTGACGTGTTGGTGTGTTGACAGAAGTGAACCTTTTTGGGGGGTAGGGTCACATGGTCAATTCCCCCCCCCCCCCTTCCTCGCTCAAGCGTGGCTAACCTGATAGGGAGGTGAATTTGTTACCATAATGATCCTTAATAAATTCTCTATCAAATGTTTCTAATAAGATATCCTTAAATGAAATATTTCTATATGATATAGTGATGGGAATCCCATTCTTTTATATAAAAAAAGTAAGAAATGTTGATACCGGAGTCAGTAAAATCAGTTCTAATTTCCTTAGACACCATTTTTTTATGAAAATAATCCTGAATACTTTATCTAAAAGTTTGGTTAAAGAAATATATTTAAAAAACAAAAGCTCTATATGATACAGGTGTGAATAGAGCTGTTACTTTTATCCTCTTCACCACTGATCGGCTCGTTCGTCGCTTGGGCGAACGGTCACGTCTCTGTTACACTTCACTCAATTGATTGTACTGTAATACATAACTAATCATGTCTTAATACTTGCGATGAAGGTTGGGGAGGAGATTACTGTATTGGGTCATGGTACTAACCTGACCTCATGCAAAGTCTGGTCACCCAGTGTTGGGTGGGGGGATAAGTGGGTCTTATGACCTGAATATGTCTTGAGTGACCTTATTTATTATCTTTGAGGTTATACACAGTATTATGCTGTATTGTTTATGAGGGGTACATGTATTAATAAGCACAGATTATTACAGTAACGTATCTGTACTAATTAATGAAAAACAAATAAACATTATTGTATCATGGATGAGTCGGTCCTTTTGACAAACAGTGAGGCAACCCTTTGGGGGAGGGAGGTGGCACGGTCACTTTTACCCCCCACAACAAACGGAGGAGAGATTAACGCTTATAAAATGGCACTGACATTCTAACACACACTGCTGGGGAGGGGTTGAATAATCTTATAACACAATACTATACTCTCTCACCTCCAGTGAAGATCACATCGCGACCTGTCATCCTCTGCCAACCAGCCTGTCGGAAGCCACAACCTCGACTAGCAGCAGAAATCTAAGCCAATCACGAGGGTTCCCTATATTACGTCATAACCGTTAGTTTCCATCCTGCTCATGACATCCTGGCATCATCACTGTTGTCATTGATAGGGTAAGTATTTGTGTTTGCTCATTAGCCTTAAAAATAAAGTACAGTGATCCTCGGTTCTTGAACTCAATCCGTTCCAGAAGGTGGTTAGATTAGCGAAAGCGTTAGATTAACGAAACCATTGTTTCAATGGGTTTTTGGAGTAGTGGTTCCAGCTCACCGAAAATTTCCTAAATTCAACAAAAATGGTAGAAATTTGCCAGAGGTGTGTATGTAGAAGGCTCCTGGATGATGATGATGATGATGGGGAATTACAATGGGGGTGGAGAAGGAAGAAGAAGGCATTGAGGTTGGAAGAGAAGTCACCCCATGGCACCATTCATCCATAAAATTTTAGTTCTCTTGGTGTATTTCAAGATTATTTTCTTTAAATCAACACTGTACTGCATTATATATTTGTCAATATGTAAGAATATATTTCAAAATGACCAATAATTTGTGGAAACACAGAAAAAAAGCGTTTGGTTGAAGAGTCTCAAGCAAGATATTACTCCAGTGAAAACAGAAGCGACTAACGCCTGTTTGCTGTGTTGAGCTGGATGCTGCGCATTAAACTAGTCACTTTACCTTCAATTATTTCAATAATTGTTAAAATGACTAAAAATTTAATATTAAACTTTTAAAATTATTGAATAGTATAAACTTCTTGATATTTACTAAAATAGTTAGGAATTTAAGCTAGAACGATTAATGTATTGGTGGACTGATACTAAAGCTGGTTTGCCCGGTCAGGCAGCTTTATGATGAGTCGGTTCATGAAAATTAGTTAACGAATTTTGTTAGATTAACGGTGAAGATCCTTATGGAAGGCAGTTCGTTAACGAAATTTAGGTTAACAGTAGGTTAGTTAAGCGAGGGGTCACTGTATTAGCATTGGCTTGCTGTGTTCTTGCATTCCAATTTATCACATGCAGGTAGCCCTCACGATATGAATGGGTTAGGATCATTGAAAACAATTTGTTTAGTGTATGTTATATTGGGCCCCTTAACGTCAGTTACGTTCCTGAAAATGCGACGTTATCTGAAAAGACGTTAAGCAGATCAATGTTCCCTATAAGAAATATATAAAATACGGGAGTTATGTTCCTGAGCCTCTTTGCCCCCATGAAATACATTACGTATACATAAATTCAGAGCTCCTTGTGTGATGCCTGGTGAGGTGCTTGTATGCATTACTATAAAGTCACATTCATTGGCATTTTAAAAGCTTAAAACTTGGAACTCCCTCAGTATGACTGATAATACACACTCAGTAACCTTCTCAAACCTTCCCTGCTGCTGTAATAACAAATCACCCCCCCTCCGGCAAGATTGAAGGTACTATACATGTTTTTCAACTTACATGTATTTTTTGGTAGATATAGTAACTTTCTTCATTTATTTTTACCCATTTACATGCACACACCATCCTAAATACATATTGTCCGAAGGGCAAACCTGTACTGTCTAAAGTTGTATGTGATACTAAAAGAAATGTGATAACAGCCGATGGCCTGTCCAGTGCTGTACTTAAAAACATTCAAGTCAGAATCATGAACTCTGATCTAGAAGAACTGAGCAATGCAGAGAGACCTGGCAGTTGTAGCATTAGTAAATATGAAAAATTTTGTGACGAGAGGTACCGGTATGGCCAGCATAAGGACAGAACCAGACAATGTGATGTAGTTGTGGCCAGAATTAGGCTCGGATACAGGCATCTGGCAAGTTAGTAAAGCTGTACCCATACCGGAACACTCAGCATGTAAACTTTGTGATAAACCTTTAAAGCATACACTTGAACACTATATTATTGAATGTGACACTGTCAAGACTTCAGGCCACCTGGCTTATTGTATCATGAACTTTGTAATCACTATATTGAAAAAGGGGTGCTTGAGGACATTCTTGCTGTTTATCCCAAATTTGCTAGCCCACACTGATTAGTCTTCAATTAGAATATGACGTCCATTGTATATGAACCACTGTCTTTCATGGCAATGAACGGTGACATCACCCACATGTGTTTGTGTATGAACCTCTGTCTTGCGTGGCAGTGAGAAGTGATACCACCCTCAGTGTCAAGACCTGACTGATTTATTCAGAATAGGCAAACTGTACTCCAAGCTTTGTCAATAAATTTTTTAAAGCCAAAAAAAAAACTGTACTCAAATGTACTAAATAATTACTAAAATTTGTAGTGCAAACTATAGCTTGTATATATTAAAATTAATCACTAACTTACATGGATTCCAGCAATGTAAGGTGCATTCTGCCAAGTCAATTCCCCTAACCTGTATCATTTACATGCATTTTTATGGGAAAACAGTGATGACAAAAATGACGTTATGTTGAGTCGTCGGGACGTTCAACGAATTATTGGTATCTAAAGAGTAGCAACGTTGTACTGACACAACGTTAAGCGGGGCGATGCTATATGAGGACTTACTGTATTGAATAACATAACATTGTGAAAAATTGGGTTTAGTTCTCCAATGACAAGAAAACCCCAATTAAAAAACTACCTAATTACTATACAGTGACCCCTCGTTTAACGAACGCCTCGGTTAACGAAATTGCGGTTAACGAACTGCCTTCCATAAGGATCTTCAATTCGGTTAACGAACAAAAATTCGGTTAACGAATTTCTTATGAACCAACCTCAACATGTTTTCGCTTGCACTTACCGGGCAACCAGCTTCAGTATCAGTCCGCCAATACAGTAATCGGTTCTAGGGCTTAAATTCCTTACTATTTTAGTAAATATCAAGAAGTTTATACTATTCAATAATTTTAAAAGTTTAATATTAAATTTTTTAGTCATTTTAACAATTATTGAACATAATTGAAGGTAAAGTGACTAGTTTAATGCGCGGCATCCAGCCTCTTAACACAGCAAACAGGCGTTACTCTCTCTCTGTTTTCACTGGAGGTAACATCTTGCTTGAGACTCTCTTCAACTAAATGCTTTTTTTGTGTGTTTCCAAGCAAATTATTGGTCATTTTGAAATATATTTTACATATTGACAATATATAATGCAGTGCAGTGTTGATTTAAAGGAAATAATCTTGAAATACACCAAGAGAACTAAAATTTTATGGGTGAAATGGTGCTATGGGGTGACTTCTCTTCCACCCCAATGCTTTCTCTTCTTCCTTCTCCTCCACCCCCATTCTAATTCCCATCATCATCATCCAGGAGCCTTCTACATACACACCTCAAAGTAAGTGAACTTTTCTACCATTTTTGTTGAATTTAGGCAATTTTCGGTGAGCTGGAACCAATTACCCAAAAACCCATTGAAACAATGGTTTCGGTTAACGAGCGACCTTCTGGAACGGATGAGTTCGTTAACCGAGGGGTCACTGTACGATAAAACCCCATAATCCGTACTCTCCTAATTCGAAATCACTAATGATTCGTAGTTTTGCTGTTGCGAAATATACTGTATAACTAAACTTTAATAAAGGCACTGAAATTAAAGTATTTTATTACCGGTATCATCCTGTGTTGTGATGATTCACATTATGGTAGATATTAAAATGTTTTAAGAATAAGATATTGTGAGGAATAAGGTAAAATAATATCCAGGGAGTCCCCGGGTTACGAACGGGTTCTGTTCCTGAGGACGTTCTTAAGTTGTATTTGTACGTAAGTCGGAACACATGCTATGTGTGTATCGTACTTACAGAACAATGTTTAAAATCCAACTATATCACAGCATGAGTCCTTATATATATGAAAATCACTTGATTTATGACAAAAGAAGAAATAGAATGACAAAATGCAGTAAATGTAAGTAAAAAATAAGTCATCAGGTAAATAAAATACTGTAAATTTCAAGTTTAACCCTGTTCTTATTGGTGGGTGTTTGTAAGTCCTACGTTCGTAAGTCGGACCCCCTCTTCTGTATCAGTAAATGAAGGGTAATGGATAAAAACAAAATTAGAATAAAAATAAAGAATATACTGCACTGCCATTTGGCTGCTGGACGACAAAGTGCAGTGATATCTCCGTTAGTCGGAACAATTGGTGCAGAGCACTCCCGGAGATGAGAGATTTCCTGCTAACCAGATGACTTTCTCAAACCTGGAAAAATCCCCCCTCCTCGGAAATATTTCCGGTTACTGGAAATTTTTTTCCGAGTGTCTAAGCTATGCATCTTAAACAGACAAATACTAGCCCACATCCTCAGAATGTTTCTGTGTGTTGGAGAGTTTTCCAAGAGTCCAAACTAAAAAATTGATTTGATATGGTCGTGAATGAAGCTGTGTGTTACAGCAAAGACTGGTATTTTCCACTCCCTTGGAGATGTTGGGGATTAGTGGGTCTCGTGTACCTGACCTGACACTATGTCAGGTGGATGTAGGGTGGGGTATTGGTCTTATATTACTGACTTTCTGATACAATGTCAGGTCACCCATTGTTGGGTGGGGGATTAGTGGATCTGGGGACCTGAAGATGTCTTGAATAAACATGAAAGCTAAAATACAGTATTTCTTTACCTACACTTATCACATTATATCCCTTCAACATTACGTTACTTAAGATTTTAGAATATGGAGTGAGAGAGCTGAAAGGTGTGGGTGATTAGAGATGGAGTGAAAAGGAGATGTAACATGCACCAGTGTTGCCAAGTGCTAAGCTCCTCGACAGTTGACCTTTTAATTTAACCACCACTCGGTAAACCACGCATAAATTTATGTCATAGAATACAGTCTCTCCTCGACTTATGACATATTCAACTTACGACAACCCGGACATACAACAGCCATGGTCGTATAAAATATTTTTCTCATTACGTATTTTTGAGTTCCGACATTAGTGATCGCGCTGTGTACTGACAATATTTTCGTTTGTAATTCCCTTTAAAATGGCTGACAAGTGTAAAAGTGAGAGTTCTCATGGTGCTGAGAAGAAAAAGAGACTCCCAATTTAGAATTTCTATGTATTATTTTTGCCTCTTCGATTTACGATCAATTCGACTTACGACCTGGTCGTCGGGACGGAACCCCTGTAGTGGATTCTCTCCCCTACAACTGCCACAACGAAGTTCGTCTGACAATCCTAGCCTCCCAGAGTTCGCCAAGTTTCTCTGACAAGCATCGCCGTCAAGACAAGCGCCAAGTCTAGGCGTCCAGACAAAGGGGGGGGGGGTCGACATCGGCGACGCGTACTTCCGTTCCACGTCCGCTGGACTTGTATATAAGCTCCCATTCTCGCCGTGTAGGGCAGATTCTAGCTACAGCCCTGCAACACCTCCTCTTAAGAAGCTCCTGCCCAGCAACTCCTCTACCACGCAGCAACTTCCCAGCACCAGACTGTTTTGTATATAATATATTTATATAAGAAAATCGCCATAGCTGAGTTTCCCTTCTCACCTCCATCCTATGTGTGATTCCACATCACGAAACCCCATACCCCGTCGTATCTCGAGGAGAGACTGTACTTCTCCCTCAATGATGCGTTTAATGTGCTGACTGATGTAAAAAATGAAGAAAAATCAGTTGACACCAGTGAAGTACAACAAAGAGCTATCAAGCTGCAACAAGGATATCCAGAGGATTTGGAAGATTGTTTTCCAGATGCGTTTCTTCAATACGACCAGTATGCAAAAGGGAAGCCAGAAGTTATGAAAAATCCCCTGGAGACCCTTTATGAATTGTGCACAACACAACTGGGTATGGCATTTCCCAATGTATGTGTAGCACTGAGAATTTGTTAATCCTGTCTTCAAATGCTGAAGGAGCGCTCTTTTTCTACTTTGAAGCGAGTGAAAAATTATCTAAGGCAGGAAGAACTCAGACTTGGCAGTACTAAGCATTGAGTGGGATATCACTCGGAGGCTAAGCGTTGAAGACATAATAACTCGATTCTCTTGAGAAAAGTCAAGGAAAAAATGCTTTTAAGTTTGTGCAAGTGAGAAACATTATTAGTTTTGACAATGATTCCTTTTTTATGTTCACTCACTTATGAAGAATACATTTTGTTTTTAAAAGTTATTTTTTAGTGTTAGACTATAATACAGTACATGATAATATTTGCCCGATTGCAAGTAAGTACTGTCTCACTTATGCACCTGCTTATGAATTTACTTTTAACGAAGAAATCAAGGTGGTTAAACTTGGGAAAACTAAAAAAATTTTCCAGGCAGATTAGTCAAGGAAAAAATGCTTTTCGTTCTGTACAGGCAAAGATGCAGATTTTTTGGTTTTCTGATAGGTTCCTTTAATTATGAAAGAATATACCTTACTCGTACCTGTATATGTGCATGGAATGTTGACATGTTGTACCCCTATGAATTTGACTTTGCAGATAACCCTACTGATCAGAATGTTTCATAATAATATTGCATAATCTTCTTTTACAATGAATAGATGATTAAAAAAATAATAATTTAATGTTAACCAAAATTGATTACAATAATCCATCTGAGTAGTTAGATTTGCATAATAAAAATCAGTAATGAGTATGGCAACTACCAGAGGAAACTGTTAGTACCCTAAGAATATATTTTCTTCCATTAGACACATTTCTGCTGTATTTTTATCAAAGCAAAGCTTAACAGACATACAGGTAATATTAATTCTTGTTAACTTATTATTTGTAGCAATAGCAGGAGTTGACGTTATAGGAGTAGTAGTGTAGCAATTACTGTACATACTAGCAAAGAGAGCATTACTAATAGTGACCCCTCCGTTAACGAACTCAATCCGTTCCAGAAGGTCGTTCGTTAACCGAAAAGTTCGTTAACCGAAACCATGGGTTTTTGGGTAATTGGTTCCAGCTCACCGAAAATTTTCTAAATTCAACAAAAATGGTAGAAAAGTTCACTTACTTTGAGGTGTGTATGTAGAAGGCTCCTGGATGATGATGATGATGATGATGGGATTTAGAATGGGGGTGGAGGAGAAGGAAAAAGAGAAGGCATTGGGGTGGAAGAGAAGTCACCCCATGGCACCATTTCACCCATAAAATTTTAGCTTTCTTGGTGTAATTCAAGATTATTTTCTTTAAATCAACACTGCACTGCATTATATATTGTCAATATGTAAAATATATTTCAAAATGACCAATAATTTGCTTGGAAACACAGAAAAAAGCGTTTAGTTGAAGAGAGTCTCAAGCAAGATGTTACCTCCAGTGAAAACAGAGAGAGACTAACTCCTGTTTGCTGTGTTAAGAGGCTGGATGCCGCGCATTAAACTAGTCACTTTACCTTCAATTATGTTCAATAATTGTTAAAATGACTAAAAAATTGAATATTAAACTTTTAAAATTATTGAATAGTATAAACTTCTTGATATTTCCTAAAATAGTAAGGAATTTAAGCCCTAGAACCGATTAATGTATTGGCGGACTGATACTAAAGCTGGTTGCCCGGTCAGTGCAAGCAAAAACATGTTGAGGTCGGTTCGTAAGAACTTCGTTAACCGAATTTTTTTTCGTTAACCGAATTGAAGATCCTGATGGAAGGCAGTTCGTTAATCGAAATTACGTTAACCGAGGTGTTCATTAAACGAGGGGTCACTGTATACCTGTTGATAGTTTACACACACACACACACACACACACACGTGGAAGTATGTGGATGACTTCACTGTGGGGGTTACAGTAGACAACACCTTAGACTACTCATTGCTACAAAGCACCCTGGACAGGCTACAGGCATGTTCACTATTGGATTTTTAAGTGTTTGGATAATTTTTTTTCCCACAATCCTAATTTGTTTGGGAATTTTATTTATTTTATTTATTTATTTTCAAATGTATTGTTTGCCAAGATTTACAAGTAATGTATTTTCTCTTACAGAGATTGACAAAGAGCGTCTCTTCCTCATTAGGTTCTTTGTCACTTAAATGGTAAAGAACCTATTAAGGGAGGACTTAATATTGGTAAGTACGATATTAGTATTTATAGTTAAGGCAGTAAGCATGTACAGTAGGGTCGGTATATATAGCGACTTTATATAAAAAAAAATTATATCGCGGTTACCAAAATTATCGACATTTTCCACTACAGTTGAGTCTGGATTTACGTGGTTTACGCGTTTGATCATTTACGCGGTGCCTTGCCAGAATTTAAATGCTTAATTACACGGTAAATTTGGTCATTTACGCGGAGAGCAGCTGGCGGTCCAGCCGCACTGCACCATTTTGGATTCAAACCTCCCACCATCTCCTGCCATGTTTGACCAAAGCGAGGGTAAGCGGCGCGAGTAAGGTTGTGCAATACAGTCGGCCCTTAACATACGCGGGGGTTACGTAACAGAGATGGCCGTGGATGTTAAAAATCCGCGTATATGTGCTGCCTCCCCCAAAAAAACCCTGGCCCCCATGTCCTTATTTACCGTATATACCTGTGTGTAGTTCGAGTTTTTAAGACCAAATTATTTGGCAAAAAATTGGGGGTCGACCTCTAAAAGGGTAATAGTTTCGTTAGGTTGAAAAATATTTACCAGTAACCACCAGTAAACAATGGAAACGATGCACCAACGCACCACCAACTGTGAGTGTCGGTACAGTTGCCAGGGCATATCTCTTGCGAGCCCAAAGTAGCCAAATCCTTGGTATGGTAGCACAGGACGATGTAAAACATAAAGTATTCATTTATTAAAGTTTATTTATAGATACTGGACATAAATTTTTGTTCATTACATTTGAAACATCAATCTTTGTTAATTAAATTTGAAACAAAAGAAAACTACAATACCGTATTTTCATTAAAATATTACATCACAAGTATATTTTACCTTAACTGTGACTGAATGAATATATTCTCGGAAATAAATATGGAAATTTAATATTTTTGCTGGAATGACGTACATATTATAGTGGAAAGTGGGATAAAATCATGACGAAAGACTTTCGCTTTCTTTCGTTGTTCAAAAGATTTTACCGTAATCGCTTTTTGAATGGTTTTCAGTTAAAAAACTGTTGCATCACAAGTGAATTAGGATAGAATATTATTGTAATACAACAGTTTTTTAACTGAAAACCATTCGAAAAGCGATTAAGGTAACATATTTTGAACGAAAGAAAGTGAGTCATTGCTTTCGTCACTTTCCACTGTAATACGTACGTCATTTCATCAAAATATTACATTTCCATATTCTCAGAAATAAATACGTAGTAGTTTTGCTGAAACGTAATGCATTTCAATGTAAATTAGGATAAACTACATGAAAACAAAAGACTTTACCTAACCTTCCAATGTTCAATATATGTTACTCGTTTTTTTAGTAGTTTTTGGTTAAAATACTCTTATATTAGTGATATTCTATTCATACTGTGCTTGATATAATACATTCACGGAAATGTAATATTTTTGCAACTACAATGCTGATGTCAACACAAGCGTGGTTACAGCGAGACTGACTGAATGAGGGAGAGCTATGCGTGTGTGTGTGAGGTTGCGGGAGTGGGCGGTGTCCCGTGTTCGGTGCCGCGCGCGAGTTGAATGTACTTCAATTACTTCAATGTACAGAATATTCCTCCGGCGGGGCAATCCGCGTATTTGCAAATCCGTGTATTATAAACCCGCGTATGTTAAGGGCCGACTGTATGTCGCTAGCTGTGATTAGTTTAATGTAATATGACGTGCCCTGCCACGGGAGGGAAGAAGTCGCTGACCTAGCAGGGCCCGTCTCATTGTTCTCAGTCCGCGTATACAATTCTCTCTTGTGCCCGCTATTCCCCTCACAACTCACAATGGCTGCCGCGGGACCCCCACCACCAGAAAAAAAACATTGAATTACCTGGACCAAGCCATGATAATGTGAAGGAAATCATCGAGTTGGGGGAGAAACTTAAGCTTATCCTTGACAACGACCCAGACAAGCTTCGGTATGAAGTGTCTAATAACCATCTGACAAAATTTATGGAGCCGTATATCCAGATCTATCTCGACAACATCAATGCTAGTCGTCAACGTAGTATTGAGGACTTCCTTGCCTGTAATCCACCACAACCACAGCCAGCCCAAGTCAGTGATAGTGACGATATGGACTTTGAGGGGTTTGTCTGGGAGGCCCTGCAAACCTCTGCGAGTAGCGAAAGTGATTCACCAGAGGGCAACTAATCAGCCCTCTGCCTCGGAACCAGCCACCATCCACGTGTGCCGACCCAGCTTTTCTACTTACATAAGTGTTAAAAAACCTAATATTATTGATATTTCTCTTAATTATTAATTATGTGTGCATACCATCATAAAATTAAGATGTTATTTTTACTACAACGTACGTATTGTGTCGGGAAAAAGTGGAGTTTGGGGGTTGGCCCAGCCTTTATTTCAATTAATCCCATATGTTCTGTTATTTCATTTACGCTTTTCTCGTTTTACGCGGTACTCCATGGGTTCAATTGACCGCGTAAATGAAGATCCAACTGTATATAGCAATAAATTTACAGTAAAGCCTCGAATAACGACGTTAATGTGTCCTCCAATATTGCAGTGTCAGGTGAATCGTCTTATTGCGAATCATTAATTACCATTAAAATAAAACAATAATAATGAGATGCATTCCCAAGTGTGACCTTTTCATATCTTTTGTGTGGCTTTTTACCCTCTTTTCCCCCAAAAACAATACAATTAATGAAAAGTGCAAACTATATTCTTTAAATAATGTTTCTGAATGCACCTTATAATATAAATGAATAATAACATGGTCACACAAGAGGAGATGGGACAACCATTCTTTTCGTTTGTGTTTACAGCTGGGTGTCCAGGACAGTAGTTCTATATGAGAAAATTAAGAAAATAAGACCCTGGTTGTAGCTGTAGTAAAATTAATGTAAAAAATTAATATATATGGTTTAAGTAACATTACTTAATGTTAATAAATGGAACAATCGAAGTAGCTAACCACTAATGGCAAAGAAAAAAAGATGGATTGGGAACGCCAACATATACCTGCGCATTTAAGGACAACGCATTATTTATCTTAAGAATATGTTCAAAAGATTCATTTTTGTTTATTACTGAATATGTATTTGATTGAATTTATGTTTATGTATGTGAAATGAACAATGCAATTCATTAATAATACATAGAATATTAAAACACACACGAGGAGACAAGACGGCATTGTTTTCGTGAGTGATGATGGTTCAACATAAGAAAATGAAGAAAATAAGACCCTGTTTGTAACTGTAGTGAATTTAATGAAAAAAAAATTTAATACCTGTATGTATGTTTTAAGTAATGCTATTTAATGTTAATAAATGAAACACTGGGAGTAACTAACCACTAATGGTAAAGAAATAAGGTGAGATGATTGGGAACGCCAATGTATGAACAGTAATCGCGTACATGTGAAAACATATCGTCATTTCTCAACATATGAATATGAAAGCAACACTTATTTACTGTTCATATATGTTTTAAATAATATTTGCAAATGTAAATTAAAATTCTATTCACCAGTGACGGTAAAGTCTAAAACATAAGGACAGCCAATGAATATTGTGCGAGTTCTTACTCCAGGTTCAACTCTGGCTGAAGCTGTAGCTTTCCATAAAGCTGTTACTGAACCTGAAGTTGATGTTGAAGCTACTTATGATGCTGAATTTGATGGTGTAGCTGAAGTTGACGGTTTAGACCTTTGAATAATAAAGCTCTTGAAAGAACCTTGCACAGCTGCTTTCTTTTTCATTATACATCTTTATGTAGATGTCATTTGTATTTACTTAAATTTTAATGCTTTGTTCTGTTAATGGATCCACTTCAGAAAATATGTTCATTGTTTGCTCCATATAATATCCACAGACCTCTCACCTTTTTCATATCGTTTTCACACCTAGTTTCTCGGCCAAGCTATGACACTTTCTATTAGCTTTTGAAACAACACTATTACCACTTGCTCTCTTGCTCATGTTGAATAGGGAAGCAAAAATACTGTAAGAAACCTGAGAAAGTTTTTCTCCTGTTCCTGTTCCAGATGCGTGAAAACATAAGGCCCGCCAAGCTCTGACTGTTGTTTAGCACTCATTAGCAAGGCAGCTTCTTTGCGCAAGGCTCTCTTCACTTTTTTTACAGTAATTTTTTTTATATAATATATAACGGGATTTAGTTATTTATATGAAAATGTAATTTTAATTTATTTTTATTATATTTTGGTAGTTAATATGAATGAAATAAGGATGTAAACTAAATTGGGTCCTAAATTATCTAGGGTTTAAAATACGAAACGTTGTTGGTCGAACCGTTGTTATTCGAGGCTTCCCTGTATTTACAGTAGACTCACAACTTATGTGGGGTTATGTTCCTGGGACCTCACATAAAGCCCAAAACCGTATAAAGTCAGAAACACTCCTAAAAATCGCCTAAATTGATCCAAAAATACGAGTTGAAAAACTGTACAGTACAGGTACTTAAATGTACACTATAAGGTATATATATATATATATATATATATATATATATATATATATATATATATATATATATATATATATATATATATATATATATATATATATATATATATATATATATATATACAGTCAACCCTCACTTTCTGCGGTCCCACATTCCGTTTCCACGGATGCTCACATTCAGCGGTGCGTGTACCCTTTACGGGTGAAGTATAATTTTTTATTTAGCTCATAAAATTCATACAAATTATCTGGCCAGAATATAATTTACATTGCTGGAATTCTTACAATTTGATGATCATTTTGAATATAAACATCATAGATTTTGCATTAGACATACAAATTTTAGATATAATGTTTACTCTGAGTAAATGTGTTTATCTTTTTGTGCAAAATATATGACATTTATATTCAAAATATTCCTAGTCTTAAAGGAATCAGCAATGTCAATTATATTATCTAACTTAGTCTGAGGTTATTATTTATTACTAAAAAGTGCAAATTCTGGTTTTTCCACATTCATCTTGTAGGGAGGGGGTGGGGGAGGGAGGGACGGACCGACCAGACCATCTAGCATG